AAAAAAAAAAAAAAAAAAATAGTTGTTGTATTTTTACTATTTCGTGCGAAACTTTGTTTGTCGTAACGTTTTGACAAAGACAATATCTTCTCATTATTCTTATAAAAATAATATAGATATACGAATAAAAAAAAACAATAAATAACTTGTTATGTTTTTTATACAGAAATTATAATTTTATAATTATGGACCAATAAAAAAATCTAAAATGATGGTAAAAAGTTTATGCACATCGTATAGAATGCGTCTTCATTATTTTGAAAAAAATAAATAACTTATACCAACCAAAAAAAAGTAAACAATTTTTTTTTTTTATTTTTTAGTTAAACAATTCAGACCAAAATCAAGATAAATTTTCTTTTCAGTTTGACAATTATGAGGTGCACCTCTCTAATGTCCTCTAACTCTTTCAATTTATTTTGTCATTTCTATTTTCTTTAATAATAGTTTGAAATATCTATGTATTTTTTTACCTATAATATAATCAAAATTTGATGTTATGTTCTATTCTAAGTTGTCTTATTTTTTTATTTTATTTTGTTTTTTTCCATATTTATGATTGATCTTAGTAAAAGAAACCTAAGTTCAGTTAAACTGTTACGTCGAAATAAAGAGGTTACTCACTATTTTCGAGATACATTTCACATAGATATGAATGGTAGTACCAATATCTGTAGATGATACTTTTTATTTTACTTTTATAAAAATTTTATCCCTTTTAGTCAAATAAATTATATTACTTATGACAAATATAACTTTATATTATATCTCCCCATGTCTCTCATTTTTTACTTACTTATGACAAATAATTTTAAAATTTATTCTTCCATCAAAATTAGAGTACTGCAAGTTCTCTATGCATAATTATATATATAATTATTTATTTATCTGTAAAGAATAATCTAATTATTATTTTAATAATAAGTCATACATAAAAGTGAGAAAATTTAATTATAGGCAATTAATGTAGTTATGGAAGGAAAAGATTTTTCACCTCCAAGCTACGTTACTTCTATGTGTGTGTATGTATGTCTGTTTATGTGTGTGTTAATATTATGACACGAATGCAAACTCTGGGGTGTTGTAGAAAATAATATAAAGTTTTTTTATCCAAAAGATTATGTTACTTACAAAGGAAGAAAATAACAAAAAGGATAAAAAAAATTGATAATTGGAATGAAAATTCACGCTAAATAATTATTTATAAAAATGAATCGTCATAAAAAATAATTATATTTTGTTGTTTGAGTTATATTCATAAGGATTA